ATTAATATTTCTGGTGAGCGACTAATGAAGCTAACAAAGAATTGACTATTTACAGCTCATTTTGATATCTATTCATCAGTCAACATTGTCTTTACATTTCATCATAAAGTTATTGTGACACCACGCTTTCAAAACACAAACACAACCGTGTCGGTTCTTACCGGAGAGTCGGGTTTAACGTGGGATATGGCTAGAGGCATCTTCTGGTCCACTCCACCCTGGGAGGAGTTGGGAAATTAAATGGAGCGAGAGCGGAGGAGTGACAACACGACCATAATGTGTGTAAATCATTTTAACCAACATAAAACGCTGCCTGCCATCTGAAGGTAAGAGACACACAAAGACTGTAAGAGAGAGAGACCCACTTTAACATTGAAGCCAAACTTGCCGTCATGATCGGGGGCAATACATATGAGCATCAAGTCACCGTCGCCGAGAGCACCCTGCATACACACAAGTAGTCAGAATCAAGGGAGACATTGATGGATATACAGTAGTACACTTTTTTTTAGAGTTGATCGGGACATAACGGACCTTATCGTAGTGGTGTGAGATGTGGTCACCGTCCTCCTCTCCTATACTGTCGTCAATTTGTAACAAAGCCTCGCCCGTCACCTGGCTATAAGAGAAAGAGATGAATGATTTGCACATCAACAGATGACTTTCAGATGTGATACTATTCTGACTAATCTCATATCATGATATTTTTATATAGCTTAAATGCTTTGACAACACACGTTTGGCCTGCTTGACTTAATTAATTTATACTTTTTGACCAATTCTGCGATTAAAATTGCTATTATTCTTTATAAATAAAAGCACAGGCCGATTTTGTGGTCTACATAGTCTATTAACCATGATAACGTACACACCAGTTATCACAAATTTAACAACTTTTCATCTTTCCTAACATCCAGATATCAAAATTGTACAAGGCAGGGCTTCTTTTCTCTTGAATAAAACCTTTGGCCGAGGATAACTACTGGAGAAAGGAGCATGCAAAAGCCTTGTTAAGCCGACAACAGCTGGAAGTTTCTTTAAGTGGTTTGGAAAACTCACTGAATTATCGTTAACTAGCTAAATTTGGTGTCAACAGCTGTCATTAAAATTGCAGCTCTTATGATACAAAAATTGCAATAAATCCGATTGCAATGTCGTTGTAAAAATGATTAAACTTTCAGTCCCAATATATTATCATAGCCCACTGATTTGAGAGAGAGTTTCAGAGTGTGCCTAAGAAGCTGACACATTCCTCTTAACTGATTCTTACGAATGCGGTGAAGTGTCTCCCTCGCTGTCCTTGCTGCTGCTCACAGACGCCCGGTATGTGTAGAAGACGTCCTCCCCCTCCGACATGTCTTTCATGTCATTGGTCAGTTCAACTGAGGACGGGCGAGGTTTACAGATGCCGTGGCGAACTCGAGCACTTCGCCTGTCGGAGAGACAAACCAGCAAAACCAGGTGAGCGTCAGATTTAATCCAATGATTTAATCTGAGCTCAAGTAAAAGAGACGCTGGATAGATGTTTGACTGCAGCTGAGAACATAACGTTGCGGTTGATCCTGCAGCTCGTACCAGTTGGGGGTGTTTGGGGGCGATCTAGAGGGCAGGCTCTTGGTTTCGAGGTACTCTGATGAAATCGACCTCTGCAGGACTGGGTTCCACACCATCCCCCCCACCACACGCTGGCACACTGGACCACTGCAAACAAGAAGGGAAAATAAACTTTTCAGTGTTTATGACTAGAATATACACGGAAATAAATATGTACAGGCAACACTCACGTCTCAGTTTTACTGTTGCCAAGTCCCAGGTGTTGTGTTATCAACTTTCTGTAGGACTGAACCGGGCTGTTGCTGTGTTTGGGGCTCCTGACAGTCCGGTTGGAGCAGAAGGAGTGATGGTCTACACTGGACCTCCACAGGTTCTTACAGGTCTTGGGACAGGGCAGAACCAGAGACACCTCACAATCCTGGGTCTCCCCCTGCAATATACAGAGTTACATTTTATTTATAATGCTTTATTATGTTGAAGTTCTTTGCAACTCCAATATTCAAGGCCACATCTCTTCCCTTCTTCTCACATTTTTTGATTTATTACTTACACATATAAACACAAAGAGAAACCCTGCCAAAGGGTGGATACGAACCATTCAATCAATGCTATACTCCATGTAGACCGTGACAAGTTTGTGAAATTTTGTTAAAAATGAAAGTGTATAAATTTCCTAAATTTTGCTATAATTAGAGCTCAATATAAAAGCAATCAAAAAATAGTGTTGACTCCAAACTTTCAATGGAGTCATCAGTCAGGTGTGTAGAGCAATAAAAAGCAACAATTTGTTCAGAGCTATTAAGGATAAATAAATGGCAGAGGGACTCACATGTTTACGTTTCAGATGTATAAGAAAGCGTTTCCTCTTGAATGAAATCTTGATGATGTTTCCCCTACATGTGAAGAATGCAGTTGGTTGAGGGAAAAGCAGACATAGAAGAACAAAGACATGTAATCATCATTATCATCACTCACCAGGGGAAGAAACTGGAGCAAATCATATTGCGGAATATTGCAACACCACTGGAGGCCAAACCCACCATCAGGGGGGCATCATTGGTGTCCTGAGAGACGATGAGGGAATGACGACAAGTGTCATACTTGAGAGGAATAGAGAGGAATTACATGAAAGTTTATGTGAGGGAATCTCTCTACCATGGCAGCATGCAGCTCCACCCCATACAGCTCCAGTGTCCGTGCTGTGTTGAGGAAACACAGCTCTGCCTCGCTCTGCTTCAGCCCCCTGTGAACACAAACACACACACATCACTAGGAATCAACCGCACCACAAACTTGTTCTTTTGTCGGTGGCAACTAGATGTAATGAAGCTGTCTGTATTACTTGTGCTGTGGATGAAGATCCTCCACTTTAGACAGGAAGTCTTCATCCTGCGCCGGAATGAAGTAGCATTTGGAGAGGTACCCGGGGAGTCGAGATGGACAGTGATCCCCCATCTCCGCTGCAGGCGATGGAAAGAGACACTGAGCATCGACACATAACCAGATGCACACATTCACCAGTGACATCTGGGGTACTGTTAGAGAGCTGCTGCTCATTGAGAGCATCCTCAACAGGACTAATTACTCTCTCAGTTATTATTAAGGCATTAATCATTGGTTTCTCTAGGAAGAGATTGGACTTACACTGCACGGCGTAAGAGGCCAACACTACAGCTGCACTCAGTGGGCACTGCAACCTGCAATCATACTCCATGATTACACATTGTATTAGCTAAACACATGCTGTGCACAGGGGGGGAAGAGCGGTTGAGTTTGTGTGTTACTGACCGTCCTTCTCTAATGTCACTCCTGATCTGGAGGAAGTACAGGTGCCTGCAGGTACGAAACAAGAGGAACTTTACAAACCCACGCCTTCATTTTTTTTATCCACAATCCCGCCGAAAAGCCCCTTTGTGAGTCAAACAACTTCTCCAGATCGATATCTAGCGATATATGGCTGCTGCAAAAACACACATAAGTGAGAGGCACATATACTAACCTTGTCTGTTCATGCTGCAGAGCGTTAGGATCAGACATGAAGAATCGTACTCTGAAGTTCATATAAAAGGGAGATGCAAGACCTGCGGAGAAACAGTATATATCTATAGTTGCAGGTTCACCTTAATCATCTGCTCTTCTACACCCCCTATCTATGAATGTATTGTAATATATATTTTGAAACAAAAATATACTTGTCTGGAGAAATATCTCTCGGTAAAAAACAGTGAATTCCCTGGAGCGAGAAAAAGACAGATACCTTTTATCTGCTTCTTCAAGGGTTTCTCAGGCTCCAACCATCTCTGAGAGAAAGAAATTCATTAAGTATAATGGCTAAATGAGGCTAAAAACAAAAGCATTTATGTAAGCATACCCTGTGGTTATCATCGTCTAAACAGCAATCAGCGAGTGCAATACGTTACAATCCCAGCCCAAAACGCTCAGAAGATGAACAGTGAGCTCACAGGAGAGTGTGTGTTGGCTGTGATTGAGGCGATGGCTGTGCTGGATTCTCTGATCTGCAGACTGAAGAGCTGCCTCTCCTGCAGGCCCAGGTGGTCGCATACTTGGTCCAAGAGAACCACACCTTCATCCTGCTTCTGAAAGATGGAAACAACAAACACACATTGATACCAGCCAAAACTTTGACTGACATTTACCCGTTGCTTATTTGTACAAAATACTGTGCCATATGTTGCATATAATGTATAGATAGTGATCTTCTTTTATATATGAAAAGAATCTGTGAGTTTCTCTTTGGTTATTTTAAATATTAATATTGGTTGTGTATTAGACAAAAACAATTAATAATGCATATATCCAGGTGAAAAACACTTTGTGGTTTAACTATTAATCACTCCGAGGGAAAAACACGCAGCGCATCTGCATTTCCTCCACACATTCACATCACAAGAGGACCGTGTTTACTGTAAACTGTGGCGGACAGTGAGTGCTTATAGCAGGAAACACAACCATGTGTGTGTGTGTGTGTGTGTGTGTGTGTGTGTGTGTGTGTGGACACACAATCCGGGTGAAGATCTGTTTAAATGCATCCCTCAGAAATGTGTTATTTTTCTGTGAAAATCTGTAAAAAAAAAAAAAACAATACGTCTTATCTAAACACAGGAGTTAGTAATGGAGACATTAATATTGGAAACAACCACAGCGCTCTCTGTACACATAAAGATGCTGCACAGCTGTTGTCCTAGAAAGCAGTATTTGTGATTGCCTGCACGAGTGTGTGTGTGTGTGTGTGTTGATGCTCGTCAGTATACTGCGTTCATGATATGCGGATGATGTTAAAGGCTCATTTTAAGTGAGACAAGCTCTGTAAGTTGCAGGAGGTGAACGTGACTTCAAATCAAGGTCACAGAGTTAAATGTGGATCAATGGGAAAATATGAAAGAGTAGTCGGTCACTGTATCATGCACTGACGCTGTGATCATTAACAGAGCACAGAGACAGATTGGAATAACATATGATCTCTTCAACTGCAGACAGGAAACAGTGTGCGTGTATGTCAGTGTGTGTCAGTGTGTGTGTGTGTGTGTTACGCACGCTGACTCTGAAGGTCTCGATAGTGCCGTCCAGTAGCTGAACTAGGCAGAGCAGGTCGGGTTTTGGCATGTCTGTTACCCTGGTAACTCTGCCTCCCTCTCAAGACAAAAAGCCTGCCCTCAGCTCGGCACTGAACGGGGACCTGGAAACACACACACAACCACAAAAACAGTGTCAGATGTTTCCAGGCTGTTGTCTTCCAATGCAACTCCCTCAGGATGAAATTGTGTGATGAGTAATATATGTGCTGTATGGAGCATCAGACTGCAGTGAGTAATGCAGCGTGAATGCGAAGGAGTGACTGTGTGTGTGTGTGTAATTCCTTATTATTTTGGCCTGGGTTTGAACATGTCTCTTCCCTCTCCCTGCTGCGTCTCTCCGCCTTACACAGGCAGCTGAATGATAAGAATGTTAAACATTTTCTGAGTTGAACACGCCCATCTACACTACAGTAAGACTGATCTCAGACCAGCCTCTGGGAGCAATGGACACAGCAGGACCACAAACACACACATACATGCATGCATGCACTGCTAATACATGCTCAGAGCTAATAACTTACCCTTTGACAATACCTATGTGTGTGTGTGTGTGTGTGTGTGTGTGTGTGTGTGTGTGTGTGTGTGCATATATGTGCATGCAGGTGTGTGTACGTACATGTGTCCCGTCTCGGTTTGCAGGTGAATGATTAATGGATCCAGACGAGCCTGTCTCACACGGGTTCTGAAAGGACACGCAGTGTTTAAGTTAATGTTTGAACACAGTGACACACTCTGAATATATTAAAACCGAGCTGTTCACCAGTTCGGTGACTTGTTTTCCATAATGACCCCTCTCACAGGCAGGCCTCTAATGAATTCACAAGTAAATGCTACATTTAAAAAACACCATCATGTTGTAGAGACGGATGACCTCACTGGGTGTTTTGGATCTTGCAACTATGTTGTGTCAACATGACAGCTACAGATTAGGAATTAAAATAGTTCTCTTACTTTATGATGCTTTTACAGATATTTTCTTCCATAGATTTATTTGTACAAGTTAAAAGTGTACATTGTAGGACATAAAATCACCCAACGTTGATGGCCTCTACTGCTTTACCAAATGTACACATACCAATGAACAAACAGGGCCTATCTCAGTGTATTATGCACATATTTATATTGTCCGACTGTCTGTCGATAATGAACTGTGCTGTGACCTGGCTGTACTTTGGACCACAGCGCCAACAAGGAACCTGTTGACAACCTGAAGCTTTTCTACAGCTACACCCAAAAGGAGGAACACTTCCCTGGCAAACTTTCCACCAACCACAGCGGTCCTCGTAACTACAACTTTGGCCAAGTGACTGCTTTTTGGGAAGAGAATGTTCAAAAGACAGATAAGATACGTGTACCTCAGTCGATCAGAGACGGATCATATTCCTCAGGCTGTCCGCTGTGAAAACCTCCGGACGGGGCGCGTTGGAGGAGCCAGGTACAGTAAGGTAAATATCCGGGACAAGTTTCTCATCCCTGGCTGCGCTCGCTCCGCGGGGCCCCGCCCCTTCTCCGCGCGCGCCGCGGATCTAGGGGGCGCGCGCGCAAAGCATAGGAAATATGCATGGCAATAGAAACCAAAACATTACTAAACTTTTACTTAAATCCTCCACTTAAGTATAAAAAGTAAAAGTGTACAATGCAGAAAAAATGCCCCACGTGACTTACTACACTATTATATATAATATCATTAGATTATCATAACTTATTCATTAATGGAATCGCTCAAAGAGAGATGACAACTAACTATTATTTTCATCATCAATTTCATTCATCATTTAGTCTATAAAGTGAAAAATGCCCAGCACATGTTCTCACAGACCAAGGTGATGTCTTCAAATTGCTCTACTTGTCAGTGAAACAGTGCAAATCCCAAAGATGTTCAATTTATAATGATGTTAAACTGGGATGGAAATTTTGTTTTGGTCTGTTTATATGAAGATACAAATTCCTATAGAAAAGAAAATGACAAAGTATCCTACAAGAAATCCTCTGCTTTCCTGTCTCCATCTACAGGACAGAAGAAGTACTGCTGTCACGTGTGTTCAGCATGAAAAATGAACTGTTGATATTTAATGCTACTTCCCTTATGCACACTTATGCCTAAAATAAAATTTAAAAAAAGGAAGTTGTGGATGGAGTATTCAGAACCTTTATTTCAGTTAGTGTAAAAATACTCAGACTGTCCTGGCCAATCTGAGCAAAAAATGAGCTTCTCTGAAGCCACTTTTAAAAAAATACCCCAGGTGATTTCCTGTTAGGGGACTTCACCAAAGGCTTTTTTAAATAGTCCTGTAACGTTTGTTTTAAGTTACAGTAGAAGCCTGAAACATGTAACTGAGATCATAATTTTAAAGCTTACAGATTATTTTAATTTTGTTATAGTCAGTGTTTGCCTTTTTCTGTACAGGCAGGCCTGCAGATATTTACTTATTTATGTGATTTTTGTTGTTTTGTTTGTTTTCCGTACTGCTTTACTTGAAGCGATCAGTTTTTCTGTCAATGGAGGGTCGTTAGCTTGATTAGACGCACCTTGGAGTTATAAATGCTGGCCCCTGTCCTCTCTCCTTCGCTACAACAGATATCCACCCTGAATCGTTGCTGTTTGGTTTTGCTGAACACTGAACACTCCAGTGTTTGTTTTGTGTACTGTAGTTGAATACATTGTGCTAGTTTAAGTTTAAACTTGCATGGACTGCCTCCTTGTCACTGAGCCAGTTTGTGACAAAGTACAATATTATGTTCATATTATATATAAAGTGTCTAATCAAATCATTTCTGTATCCTAGAAAATGTAAAGAAACCAGAGTCCTAATATAAATTGGTGTACTGTATGTTTGTTTGCTGCTGAACCAAGTCTGAAACAAGATGATTTGACCCAACGTTTCCAATGTCAACCACAAATATGTCTGCAGCTGACATGACTCCCGGATCTCTGACTGTGTGGACATGACCATGAGTAAAAGACATGACAGAGACACCACTTATATAAAAGTCAATGACGGTTAAAAGGGTGCCAATAAGATTGATTCTTGAATGAGATAATTAAGGAAAGAGAGGATGAAGGCGGATGATAATGGAGCTATAATAGAGACCAGAAGTTACATGGTGTATAGGTGTCATTCTGCAGATATAGTTTGAATGTGGTTTGACTTTCCCTTTCTGTTAGGCTTGAGGCTGAAGCAGCGAGCCTGTTCTTTCTGGTGGCGTTGGCTGAACTGCTGACTCTCGGGTGTGTTTCCTCTCTTGACTGTAGAGATGTATGCCCGTTGTGTTCAGTGTCACCTGTTGCATGCCTGGAAAAGCAAAAAACCAGCCCCAGCTAGTTCCAAAGCCGTTGGAGTGATGTGACAAGAGGTGTCAAACTGAGACCAGCACAGACCAGTTCACTTTAGGGTGACAGGGGGAAGCTAGCACTGTAACAGAGAGGGACCTCCCCTCCTGCTGCTGTTCAAGGATCAGCTTTCCGCCACAGCAACCAAGACACTCTGTACCAACTCTGATCCCAGCAGCTCTCAATTTAGAAACACACACAGGAACACACTTAATGTCATTTCAGTATCTGCACTTCATGTCCCATTTATCTGATTCGCATACTATCTCATGCTATAGTCATCCATTGCTCATATTCAGTTTAATACAATACTTCTTGTTAAATATTTGCGGTCATATGGACAAAGCCCAGTTTCATCTCCTAAAAGAGTGTATTGTCTATAACTTATTTTGCTTATACAGATAGAAGAGAGGAATCTGTATTTGTGCCAGACTCAAGATAGTTCCTCTTTAATTTGCAATTTTTAAACAATCACTTGTTGATATAAATTTGTCCTGATGTTATTCCTTCAACAACAGGATTATTTAGATTTAATTGTGTCTGAATGTCTGGAGTCTATATAAACTGCTGTGATATGAAACAATCAGCCACTATGTGAGATATATCACAAGCATGAAACTGTGTCTGTGGTGGTGTGGACAGGCCCTGTCCTTTCTCAGGGTGTGTAGCATGCCACATGAGACAGGAAGACTGATACAGAGCTGTCATGTGCTGGAATGCTGTCGTGACTTTACACATGTAGTGCAGTTTCCATGATCCGTTAACTGTCCTTATAGGTTCAACAGAAAAGTGTGTGCTGCAAATTTCTGGTCAAACAAAAAATAATGTGTGTTGTTGGGTGTTGATGTTTTTCTGCATGTTGGTTATCACGCTCTGCCCACTCACAGATTTTGTGGTGGCATACATTGCTTCCTCTAGTCAATTGTGACAAATAAAGAGACCTAAAGAAAGAAAGAAAGAATGCTCAAAATCATGAGCGCAAAGGCCCCTTAACCGACGTGGTATTATTTACAAATACAAGTACTATATTGTGCATGGTTATGAGTATATAGGCCTATTCATTTGGTGCCCCTTTAAAATAAGACACAGTTTCTAAATGGTTTGTAAGCTCTAATTAATGGTTTTATTTATAGTTTATAATGCTTTATAGATCAGATACAAACCACTGATATCAGCAATTTGTTAGGTTAAAGCGTTGTGCATTTTTCACTGTATTCTGTGCCATCAGGTCTGCAGTTATAAATGTTAGTAGGTCAAAGTCATTAATTAGGGCCAATGGCTCTAACTTCCCAAGAAACCATCATCATTTCTGTCATTTGCAATTGATAACTTATTGATAAATGATTCTAACAGCAGTTCATCAAATCTGCAGTTGTAAATGTTACTAAATTGTTAAGAAATGGATGATCTGCAGATGGTAATAAAAAGGGTAATAATGGTTCACTTTTATACCGTATTGATAGTTGTATCCATGACATTGATTCAGTCAATCAGAATTTAAAGCAACGATTTATGGCAAAGACAAACATGTTACTTTAGGTCGCTCATGTGCGCACGCGTCATGATTCTCGACATCTCCGAGGGCACTTTAACGCAGCATTGCCGGTGGTACTCTGCGTCTCCTACGTCAACGGGCTTTAAACAGAGCAGGCACACTTTGCAAGTTTGGGACAAGCCGGGCGTCTCTGCGACTGGAAAGCTCGCCTTCACTATCAAACAAACTTCTCTCTCCTCTATTTCAGTTGTAAACAAAACAACTTCCAGTCAGTCAGTGTGTCTTCGTCCAGATGACTGTGACTCAAGACCGGCCGTTGACCAAAATGAGAGGGCTTGTGTCGTTTATCTCAGGTTAGTTAAGGATATCTTGCTTACCGGAGTTCTTTACGTTAACTCTTACGTTAAGACTTACGTTAAGTCTTACCACCAGCTCATGTAGCGTTAATACAGTCGAAAGTAACGGTTTAAAGCTGACAAAATGATTACTACAGGAGAAAAAATTGAATAATACATTAGAAAACAGAAATAAGAATATCAGAAGTCATATTTTAACTTTTGTTATTTGTGATAGTATTTGTGATAATGGTTTAATAACTTCTTTAAAGTAACGTTATGTGAAATTCATGGAGTAGTTAACGTTAGCTAAATAAAGTTACATCTTTTGAACTCTGATGTAAGAGACTAACTAACTCCCTGCTGGGCTTACAGCTCTGCTCAAGGCCAAGAAAGTTGGCTTCAGTGACTTCCTACATAAATGTGTTTCCAGTCAGCAATTCTGTCAAAGGTACGTACACACAAAACAAAAAATCATGTTTACAGCTTTTTTTAGTTTGGGTAGAATTGGATTTTGTTTTTAAACACAAATCCCTCACATGTAAATACTGTTTTTGACGTCCTGATTGAAGCCTGGACACCCAGAGAACCCTGCGGCGACAGAGCAGGACGAGAAGAGAGAAGGATGAAGGAGGCACAGTGGTGAGTACACAGAGACTGTGCCGAGTGTTGACAGGAGCTGAAGCTAAATCTGACCTCCTCACCTTTCTCTCCCTGTGTGTCTTTTCTCTCCTCAGAGCTCAGTGAACACAGAAACCTCACAGTAAGTCATTTTACCTCCTGATGCCAAGAAATAAGTCATGACAGATAAAAAGCGTGAGTTGACCACTTCCCTAAGTCAAGGACATTTACCAGTAACGTGGTTCCTTTACTTGTGCTCACAACCTTGCTCATTAATTAATCATGTATTAGGCACAAATTAAGTATTTACTGATAAACAGTTAAGAAGCATTCCTATGAACACATATCTTGACAGTTTTCTTCGGTTTTGTTAACCAGGATGAAACCGTCAGATTTTGATTACCTCAAAGTTATCGGCAAAGGAAGCTTTGGAAAGGTAGGTTTTTCTTTTATTCTTGTACATTTTTGTAATTGTGCTTGTGATATATTTTAGTTGGGACATTAAATGACACGGCTCAAACGTGTACAGGTGCTGCTCGCTAGACATAAAAAACATGAAGGCTACTATGCTGTCAAAGTGCTGCAGAAACAGATCATTGTCAAAAGGAAAGAGGTAAACTATCCATCCATCCATCCATCCATCCATCCATCCATCCATCCATACACTGTATCTACTGTAACTGTTGTGTTTATAGCAGCAGCATGTGATGGTTGAGAGGAGTGTGCTGCTGAAGGGACTACAACATCCATTCCTGGTGGGGCTCCATTTCTCTTTCCAAACACGGAACACTCTCTACTTTGTCCTGGACTATGTTAATGGCGGGGAGGTATGTGATCAATTAAAAAAAATTACTTCTCTCTGTCAACTGTGGAATGGCAAAAAACAGGGGTGAAATGACTGACTGTCTCCCTTTGCCCACAACCATTCAAAAGTTCAAAACAATGCAATTTTGGTGTCATATATAGAGTACATTTTTTACAAATATTAAGCAGAAGATCAAAAGAAATAGCGACATGTTTCTGAAGCCTACACCACTCATCTCTTTTCAGCTTTTCTACCACCTTCAGAGGGAGGGGTCATTTCCTGAAACCAGGGCTGCTTTCTACACTGCAGAGATGGCCATGGCCCTGGGCTACCTCCACTCTCTGGACATTGTTTACAGGTTCATACACACACATACATAACCAAGCCATTGCAAAGTCACTCTTTCACCTTTTACTTGGCTCACTGCTCATGTTTAATTGATTCATACAGGGAATTCCCAATGAAATGTTCACTTTGACAGAGCTCTGCATAGGAAATGTTTACACAAAAGAAACGCCATGTCCTCCAATACCATATTAAGAAATATACGGTAAAGAAAAGCGAGGTGAAACCAGAGGAAACAAAAACAACAGCAATATCAGTTTCTGTAGACTAAACCATCACTTTTGTCCCATCTGTTTGTCTGCCAGAGACCTCAAACCAGAGAACATCCTGCTGGACAGTGAGGGCCACGTGATGCTGACTGACTTTGGGCTTTGTAAAGAAGGGGTTGCCATCGGTGGGATTATGCATACATTCTGTGGGACTCCTGAGTACCTCGCTCCAGAGGTGCTACAAGGCCACCCATACAATCCAGCAGTGGACTGGTGGGGCCTCGGCACTGTGCTGTTTGAGATGCTGTATGGACTGGTGAGTTGAGGATGTGAAATAATCTTTTGATCCTATCGCCTTCCTCGGCATCTTCTCCTTACTCCATCTCCCTCTCAGCCTCCATTTTACAGCAGTAGCAAAGCAGAGATGTTTGAGAACATACTTCACGCTCCTCTGAAGGTGCGTAGTGGGGGGTCTCAGGATGCCTGCTCACTCTTAGAGGGATTGCTGGAAAGAGATGTCTCCAAACGCTTAGGTGGGAGCCATGACCTTGTAAGTGCACACACAAAAAAACAGAAACGAACAACGATGCACACACACACACATAACCACAGAGGGTCTAATTTCAATGTGTCTCTAGGTGGAGCTGCAGGAACATTCCTTCTTTGCATCCATCAACTGGGACGACCTCCTGGCCAAGAAAGTTAGACCTCCGTTCATCCCAAAAGTGGTAGGAGTGATTCAGAAATGGATGGAGAACATTATTTTAAAAAATCAATTGACAGTGTACTCTAGTCTGTGTGTATTCTTCTCCACTCTCCAGACCGGTCCCTGTGATATCAGCTACATTGACCCAGAGTTCACGCTACTACCCGTCCCTGCCTCTGTGAATGAGCGGTGTCAGGCGGGCAGGACCAGCGAGGCCTTCCCAGGGTTCTCCTTCATGAAGCCACTGGAGCGGTTGGCAGCAGAGCCGGTCTCATAACAACACCAATTCCTCTGGGAGCATGTTGGTTCAAATATTTTATTTTTTTTATGTCATAAATTATTAAATCAAAGTCTATTTTTAAACACTTAAACAAAATGATTCTTACACTAACACAGCATGTCTCGTTGATGTCTCACTAAAGTACAGTATATGTAATAAGTTATTTTAAGCATCATAATGTGAAATAGGCTGGTCACTATTTCACAAGTCCTAGCTACCTTAATGTGTAAGAAAATGGAAGAATAAACACTCAATCTGAAGCAGCTTTATTTTTGAACACTGAACATTTATCTTTAAAATATACTGCAAACATTGCAACTTTCCCGTTGTGCTTCACATTTGCAGCTCACAAAAGGTTCTGAAAATACTTCACAGGCTGTCTTAGAATCCTGCACAGTAACGGAGGCATTGTGCATCACAAGCAATATACAGAGAACGTCTCCTTGTGGCACTTACATCACACCAAAGGATGCCAGTGTGTTGGAAACACTTAAACACAAATTGGACCCAGTTCTGACTTGACGTGTGATGGTGAGGGAATGTCTTTTTTTTTTTTTTTGTGACGAACACAAAAAGCCCATCACTGTTTCTCCAGGATGAGAGCATCTGGTCTGATCCTTTCTACCTCACTTCACAAGACTGTTTAAGAAACGGTTCATACACAGAGCGGCTTCCTGTCTGTCAGGAGATGCTGAAGGAGGCGTAGCTCTGGTCACTCTGGCAGGTGAAGTAAGCTATCAGCTGACCGTTGCATATCATCAGAAACAAGCCGCTACCTATGGAACAACAAAGACGTAGAGCAAAAAGAATTGAACTTATAGAGTTAAATGCAATAATTAACAGATAAGTTGCCAGTGATGTTTGTTTTACCTAAAGCCAGCCACCACTGCCACACCATGGGAAACTCCAACATAACTGCAACATGGAAACAAAAAACGCAATAAGCAATTTGTGTACCTGGGAAGATGTATTGTTCAATTTGCGCTCACCTAGACTGGTGATCATTACATGAAGAAGTGTGACCGTGAGGGCGTAGTCCCACACCCTCCTCCTCACAACTGCAGCAAAAAACAGGCCGCTGCAAAAGTAGGTGAGCTCCAAGGACAGGAGGTTCACTGAGGAGGACAAACGGTGGAAAAATACAGTAAGTGGAAAAAGAGTTCATGCCCATTGTTGATCATATTGGCTGCAATATAGGGTGCTCACCCAAGTATTTGGAGTTGGATTCAGTAGGTTCGGTCTTAAAGTCGAATGGAATCAATCCATCAAAGTGATCCAACCTAAACAAGAAGATAGAACTGGATTAAATGTACAATAAACTACTGTCAGAAATTGAAAGAGAGTGTGTTAAACCACTGCAAAGTGTGTACATATTCAGCCTTATATGTTGCCCCAGATATAGGTCACATGGTGTGGATAAAGTAACTACTGTGAATCTCACCTGCTGCAAAGGTGGATCCATAAACAAATGAACCCACTATGAGGCCCTAATCAAATATAAACAGTTCAGACCCTATCGACCCCCTTGATTTCCTGCTTTCTGTGCATTGTGTGTGTATTCCACAACCCCCAAAAACACAAACTGCAGACTACACGTGATATCTTTCGCCTACAAAACCAGTCAAATGAATACCGCCCACGCGCATGCGTGTTACGGATTCTCACCTGAAGGCACCGAAGCACACACTCCCAATCATGTAGAAAAGAGAGTAAAATATCACCAGACACAGCAGCAGATTGCAGAGCACGGTCTGTGGGATTGAGACAGAATATATCACAATACATCTAATTTGCAGAGCAGGCAACACTAAACACTAACCTGAAGCTGTGCACTACGTGCTAACAGGCGGCAGAGGCAGACAGCGACTATAGCTGCTGCTAAACCTGATTTTACAGTTAGGATTATAATCTGTACACATGTAAAACATAGACTTCAGGCGTCACATAGCTTGTCATATTGTCTTCATTGTTCAATCGCAACATGATTTCCATAATCAGTCGATCCCAACAGACTGACAGTTCACGGAGACGTTACTTATGACACATTTGATGGTCCCTCACCTTCGAGTCCAGCGCTTTGCCTTTGAATGCCATCTCATGGTTCGTACTTGTTCTATTACAACATAATTGTAGGCTGCAGCACGACGCACGAACCCGTTAATCCTCCTTCGAAAACTGGACTTCTTCTGCCATCTAGCGACCGACGCAAGACACAAACACCAGCGCCGCCGCTTCTACAGCCGTTCACTGAACTCATTTCACCTCGTATCAGGGCGGCCTTTGTTGACTAAAATAAATACTTTCTCTCCATGTACCTCTTAGCTTTAGCTACTGAATGCGTAGCCGTTAATACGATGGCGATTTGTGTCAAGACTTGGGGGGATTTCATCAAAATGATGGCGAAAACGGCCAATAAAATCAGTAGCTTTATTATACCGGAGAAACCATAACCGCCCTATGTGGGAGGGATTGAGCACAGCAAGATATCTGGAGATGATGTGGTTTAACATGAGTATTTGGACTATTAGCGACTCTACAAATACTTCAAATCAATCTGAAAACACCAGGAAGGAATACGCCCCCGTAGTAACCCCACTACTAAATTAAATGGGTTAGCTGTCACATTAAAGCCATAAACCATACATCCAGTTATGCCATTTAGGGTGACACCATACAGTCCGATACACTGGCTGCTTGGATGGGGGATTTCTGTCAAATGTAACCCAGTAGTAGTAATTTAGCGTGTTAAACGCAGTGTTTCGTACAGGTTTGATTTGGCTAAACTCAACCATCCTGTCCGACTTTATTCAACGTTACTGGTTAAAATAGCACTCGAACAAACCCGCCGACATAAGTCTATATATGTTTAAAGAGACAAACCAGTCCAGACTATGGTGTAGCAGCGTGTTTGGGTCGTTTTTGGTTAAACAACATAATTTCGGGTGATTTTACAGGCCTGAGTATTTAATCCTACAGTTAGCACTAGCGTGTACAAACTGATAATCGCCTGTACTCGCATTGCATCCAATGTTACACAAACTAGCTGTTTAACGAGAGTGCAGGGTTTGTTATTGGGGTGAAAAACGGCCAGTTTGACAGACCAACCGCTCGTCAACGGTCATGGAAGACACTGCGGTCCCTGCGCTCTATTGATACACAGCCGTACTTCTTCGGGGGGGGGGGGAAATACTTATGAGCAAAGGGGGAGTGTGAGCTCCGGTCTGTCGGTGGTGTTTGGTTATATCGGCACTGAACTGAGTTTAGGGCGTGTTATAAGTGTAAACAGGCTGAGTATTGACCACCGATAGTAAACTGAACTTTTCCGAGACCCAAAGTTGTCAGGCGGCGCATCTTGCACGCATGCGCATCCTTCTATCCAGCTCTAAATAAGAGTTAAAACAGAAACGAGGTGAGTTCCACATTTTTAAACAATACGGGCGTTAATACTCATTTATTGCCGTTAACAGTGGCATAATTTGAAAAAGCGGCCTTCGTCTGGCTAATTATCGTTAGTTCACATTATTTCCACTCTGATTTAAAAACGGCGAAAATAAATCGTTTTTTCAAGTTTATATTAAATAAATTAATCAAGCAACATTGTTGAAGCTGGTAACAGTAGCGCGGTGCGACTGTGAGTGTTGTGTGGTATTGTGCGAAATATTGGCGTTTTGTAAAATGCGTTTTCCTATTGTTATTAACCGGGAAACTTATTTATTACAGATCGTCCTTAGCTGGCTGCATCCAGTCACAATGCTACGGCTAGCCGTCTAGCAATCCTCCGTCCAGTTGAACGGAGTGGAGCTAGCTGACTGTTAGCTTCGTGTCAGCGCTAGCTAGCAACCTGGGGCTGACATTCCGTGACAAGGGGAAAGTGAAGAAAATAACTCGAGTGACGGAAAACACCAAGTCAGGAAATTACACAGCAAACGTCTGCCTCTGTTCGACGCGTAGCGCCTTTGCATGATTTGTTTAAATGGGTAACTTGAGTAATTTACATAGTTTAAACGTGTTGGTGGCCTCTTCCTATGCTCCGCCATTTTGTATAAGACGAATGCTAATCATGGGCGCTCCTACATGCACTTTATTCAGGGATAGAATAAAATTGAGGTATCATGTGCAAAGTCAAACTTAGTCAAGGTCCTTAAGCTCGGGCTGTTGTTTACTTTTCACATGGTTACGACCACCATGCAAACAGACAATATCGCCTTAATTCAGTGTTGAACATGCGTCAAGACTAAAACGTTATATCGTAATATTAGTCTGATTAAAACGCTTTTAAGTTTGGCCAGTCAGTGCAGGAGACAGTGTTCTCTTTAAAATGGATAATCAAATGACCGTCTCGCTTGTTCATAGCAAGGCAAACAGCCGGTTTTAAGAGATACTGTTAAAACAAGGAAAAGATGAACTTGTGTGGTTAACTTCAAGTTGAGACATCTTTCCTCGTGTTTGTCAATGATCCTGATGAAGGTTCGTCCCATTGGGACCGTTTGTGCGCGTGCAGCCCCGTTAGATGACCAGCAAAACAATATTATTATTGACTGTTTTGTCTGAAATCGAAGTGCATGGTGTATCCTAAAGCCAGCACACCGTCGCCATCTAGAGGCGATGTTGGGTAATTCTGTTTACAAGTGCAGGTAGACACTGCGTTTTGTCGTTGGGAGCACCTTGTAGGTAAAACCATACAGAGGGGGGCTGCTTCACTGTGGTAATCAAACCTAGTCAGCACAATAGACGGAGAACAATGTCATGATTTAAATCAGAGATGTGGACTGAACCTTTCTCGTCAACCCCCTGGTACATTTTGGTCCCCTGTAATGTTTTTGTGTCAGTTGTCAGGATATGACAATGTCTGTAATGGGACTGTCGTTGTGTCCGTGCAGGTTGGGGATATCATAGGAGTGGGAATGACCGACACTCCACCCAGTGATGGCCCCTCCCAGGGTGCTGAGTTTGATATGATGGGTGCTCTGGACTGGAAGGACGGTATTGCCACGCTGCCAGGCAGTGACATCAAGGTACGAGAGAGATTTGTTCCCGTCCAGCATCATCTCTGATTATGGGAATGTTTGTGCATAAGTCTCTGATCTTGAATCTGACACAGATTTGTAAGAGCAGGATTTCCTGATGTGTTCAAGAGCCACTTTGCCTCAAATTATAACCACCGTTGCTAACTTTCTAAACAAAAGAATACATTTTTAGTGGAGGAGAGAGAGAGAACTATTTCACACATGGTATGCCATGTATTGAATGAATGTGATGATTATATAGGCTGCCCTCTACTAACTACATTCTTTGGGAGACCAGATGAATTCGGGGTGATGCACCACTACTGCTGGTTAAGTTCCTGTGAGACACGCTGATGTGCATATCTGTCTCTACCTCACTTGTGTCTTTCAGTTTCGCATGACAGAGTTTGGGACGCTTGAGATTGTCACAGACCTAGAAGTCAAAGGGCAGAAGGCAGAGACCTTGGACCCAGCTCAGTCTCACACTCCTACCCCTCCACCAGAGGGCCAATCACAGACCGGCAAAGCCACAGCTCCGGCCAATCGCAGTCAGCCAGGCTCATCTCACGGTAAAGGTATGACTGCACATTTTTAGCCCTAAGAACATTGTTATTGTAAAGATTGGCAGTGTTTAATTTTAATGCTCCACACGTCAGTTTCAGCCCTTCTTCTCTACTTTGTCCTCCAGCCCCCGGTCCTGTGCTTCTGTCTTTAGAAGAGGGTCCTAGTATGGAGGGCCCCAGTGTGGAAGTTGGTCCCAGTGTTGAGGTCGGCTCGAGCGCAGACACGGGCCAAAATGGGGAGTTGTCGAGGTGCCGGGCCTGTGGCAGCCGCGTTCCCCGAGACGCCCTCCTTCAGGGCAAATTCTGTAGCTCCATTTGTGCGCAGCCCTCCAGCGGCAGATCGTCCCCGGGGGAAGCGAGGGAGAGTCAAGCAGTTGATGGCGAGAGGCTGGGCAAACGTGTGCGCAAAAAGAGGAAGATCTATATGGATTCTGGTGATGAAGAGGAAGACAACCAAGAGGAACCAGAGGTGGGGAGCATACTCTGACATTGTTCTCCAGTGTTGATTTCAGAGCTACAGGCCACTCAAGTGTTCAGTGATGTCTTGCTGTAATAGATTTTGCAACGAAGTATCAAATATATATATTTTTTCCTCTTTAAGTTGAGAAAACACAGAGATTGGTGAGGAAAAAGTTGATAGCTCTAATTATTGACACATTCTTTCATTTCACCTTTTGTAGGAAAAGGCCAAAACTACCAAAGGAAGGAGAGGTGCCAAAATTGCCAAACTGGGTATGTTAAGACTGCTGCCACTGTAGAGGGGAGGGAGGGAGGGAGGGAGGTGTTTCCTGTCTCATGAAAATCTTCAAATGACTGACATGGTTGACTAAATTCAAGGCATCAACAGGCTCACAATATACTACACAATTTGTTTGACTAAACCTCTTGCAGATTGTCCTCTGATACATCAACTTTTATCTTAAAAAGCTAAAATATCTTTATTTTTCTAAATTATCAATATTTAAGAAAATCTTCACCTAAACTGAGCCGATCTGAATAAAATAAATCTTAAACTGTGAGGAGGTGTATCTGCATCTGTCTATTTTTCATGAACGTGATGGTGGTCCAAACTCAGTACATAATACTTAAGTCATTTTTTCCCCCCAACCCTCAGTGACGGCCCCGGGCAATAAGAAACGGGCTTGGAGCTGGCCGTCTTACTTGGAAGAAGAGAGGGCCATCGCTGCTCCTGTTAAACTATTCAAAGAGGTATTTCCCCATATATATATATATATATATATATTATATTTATAAACGAGATGGTTTTGTGTATTTGGTCTCAGACTGTGCTTTGATGTTCATTTGTCTTGCAGCATCAGTCGCTTCCTCAAAGCAGGAACAGTTTTAAAGTGGGAATGAAGCTGGAGGGGCTGGACCCGTCTCACCCGTCCCTGTTCTGTGTGCTCACTGTCGCAGAGGTACGTGTGCTAATAGTTGTTTGAGACTAGACCATATCGATCTTCATCGCTGTTTGTAAACAATCATTTGACCGTCCCATTGCATCTCAGATACAAGGCTATAGGGTAAGGCTCCACTTTGACGGTTACCCAGAATGCTACGACTTCTGGGCCAACGCCGACTCGTGGGATATGAAACCAGCCGGCTGGTGTGAGAAGAATGGGCATAAGTTATTGTTGCCTAAAGGTAGTCGCGCACACACACACTGACACATCTATCCATGCTTTTATAAACATATTTTCTAAGCTGGGTTTGTCTCGTAGGTTGTAAGGATGGAGAGTTTAATTGGAGCATGTATGTGAAGAACTGTCGGGGTCAGCTGGCCCCAAAACACCTTTTCAAGAGTCTCAACACAGTGAGTGTTAAGCACACACAACCTGTAGACTCGAAAGACATCCACATTAAGTTTTTATATTTGCTAAATGTGTGTGTTTACTTTTTGTATTTCAGTCTGTGACTCCGTCTGGATTCAGAGCCGGGATGAAGCTGGAGGCGATTGACAGGAAGAACCCGTCTTTGATCTGTGTAGCAACCATTGCTGCTGTTGTTGACAACCGGCTGCTCATTCATTTTGACAACTGGGATGACACGTATGATTATTGGTAAGAGCCTAGTTTAAGACTGACGGTATGATAGATAACCTCCAGTCCTCTTGGGTGATTGCTACAGCTTTAAATCCAGGTGAAGTCTACGCTAGTTTAAAGTCTTTACAACATCAGCATGGTGCTTAAAATATCGAGAGTATGGAAGAGTATTTGACAGGCTCTGTTTACTAGTAGTTGTTTTGTGTCAAGGTGTGACGCTAGCAGTCCATACATCCACCCTGTGGGATACTGTGAGGAAGCTGAACTTACTCTGACCACTCCAGCTGGTAAGACACAGACCAAGACACACGTGGGTCAGTATAAACTATTTTAATTTACTCTAGGGAATGCAGAATCTAACATTGTCAGAAATAAAGGCTTATAAAAATGTAGATTGAAACTGAAACTGATGGATCTAATTCCCTCTCCTCAGAATATAAGCAGCCCAAGAGCTTCTCATGGGAGAAATACCTGGAAGAGACGGGCACACAGGCGGCTCCTGCTCGCGCCTTTAAACCGGTGCGATTCTCTCCCACACACACACACACACACACATAGATATACAAGTACACAACGATTTATAATATGTATGCTAGGGGTATGGATGTAGTCATGTGATTGTTGTGTTTGCAGCGACCTCCACATGGCTTCCAGATTGGGATGAAAGTGGAAGCCGTGGATAAGAGGAACCCGATGCTCATCCGTGTTACGACAATAGCGGACACAGAGGACCACCGACTGAAGGTATGTCGCGTCTCCTCATCTGGATGGATTCGACATGTTCCGTGCTCCGTGTCGGTCAAATTCTTTTTTTTTTTAATGTTCCCCTAGATTCATTTTGATGGCTGGAGCTCAGAATATGACTACTGGGTGGAGACGGACTACCCTGATTTGCACCCTGTAGGGTGGTGTCAGAAAACGGGACACCCGCTACAATACCCAAACGGTGAGACACACTCTCTCACTCACACACTCTTCCCGGCCGTCCCGCCTGATATCAAGAGAGGTCAGTCGAGCTTTCTTAGGAGAAGGATCCAAAATCAGTCAGCACAGATTGTCTCTGCCTTCATTTCACTTCTGGAGGAATCTATAATAAATAGAAAATGGTCTTCTTGCAGTTGTTTGCATAGTTTTATGAACACTCAGTGTGTGTGTGTGTGTGTGTGTGTGTGTGTGTGTTTCTATATATTTCAGGCTCCAGTGATTTAGTGACTGCCCCAGGACAAGGTTGTCCTACCACAGGATGCAACGGGGTTGGCCACATTAGAGGACCTCGCTATGGGACCCACTACACGTTAGTTTATCATATTGTTGCTCTTTCTCTGCGTTTCCAATTGTTTTTCAATCTTAATGTCGTATGGCACATTTAGGATCATTTTCCAAATCACTTTCTTCATAATGAAAAAAACTTTATTTGTATTTATTATTATTTCTATGTTATGCTGTATCCTATCACTGTTGCTCAAACAGCACATCGATAGTTGCGTCTCATTTGAACAATATTTGGGGACTGTGTATGTAGTGGGTACAGGAGGAAGAGAAAAGGTCTCAATGTTAGATTATACTTGTGTGGGCTGCCTGCAGTGTAAATGTGTTGCTTGTGTGTGTGGGAGTTTTGAGTCTTTAAGGTGATTTCTCGCTGCTTTTTTTTATCGATTTGTGTAGCCTGCTAAATTGCAGAGCATCAAGTGTAGAAATGCGGCAGTTTATTTCCGGCCTGGGTAACGTCGACGTGTCTTTTGTGTGTGCAGTCAGGTGAGCTGTCCCTATTCGGAGATAAATCTGAACAAGGAGGGCTTGCTGCCAGACCGCCTAAGTGGAGAACGACCTCTCGCCCTCAGTGGACCTCATCCACGTGGGCGCCGCCCTGATCCTCAAACAAACACCACGACACAGACCTCCTCAGCGCCAGACCAGCTGGAAGGAGCTGAAGACTCCCAGAACAGGTTTGCGGCCGTCACAAAAAATATGCATGGACACACTTTCAATCTGCAATGTGTAATGCCTGGTCAGAGTCTCCAAACTAATAGGGGACAGCATTTCACCTCTACTACTGGGTCCATACAATGTAAAGTTTACGTATACGTTAGCCACTAGCCGTAAAAGGGTCCGGAGTCAATTCCCCAGGATCAGGCCCCCCCGAGTTCAGACGCCACTTTGGATTTAATCCAGTAAACAAACTATCAAAAGGCACACAGGGTATAAATGTATTACAGAAAAGCCCCATTGCAGTGCTGCTTCTTTGTTCTCCGGACTAAGAGCAGACCGGATGCTACAGTGACTCACCATCACCTCTTGAGGTACAAGTGGTATTACAAGACAGGCTGGGCTCATTTCAGTAGACATCTCTGCAATACAACACAGACTTCTTTGGGATAACGTTAACAAAGTAACTTCTTCACGTTCTATTTATAATGTAAGTTCAAAACTTCTGGCCAGATCTTACACACTGCACATTTTAAAGTAACTATCACTCCCGAGGGAACTCTCTCACTGTTTCTCATTCAACTCTTATTCGTTGGTTTGTATCTGAGCGGGTTGTCTATGTTGCTAGGAAACCGACGACAGTGGAGGCTGAGCGTTTGGGACGTACCACTCAGCCAGAGCCACCGGGGGGAGCCAGTGAGCAGAGCCACAATGGAACAAGGCCTAAACGGTACAGCCATGGAACCATCACCCCATCAAATTGTGCTGCAGAAGATGTTCTCTTGTACCAGAGAGTGACTTCTAACTTGTGTGTTTCTTCAGGACCGCTCCAGTTCCCAAATACCTGAAAATGCACTACGTGAAAGAGGAGATTGGGGATAGCAAAGGTGCGTGTGAATGTGTGTAAAAAATGAGACGCGATGAAGCATGTAAATCACCAACTCACTCACCGATGACTGCTGCCTTGCCTCCTCTTCCCTCTCCTCAGCCTCTCCGGACACCATCTCTCTCCAGCAGGCCCTCCACGAGTCTGTGTTCTCCCCTGGCCTCTCTGCCTCCCCACCCCACCGGGTGGCTCTCTGCTGGGACAAACACTGCCAGCTGCTGCCCGAGGTCCTGGGGCTGACTGCCAAGAGAGTGGCCACTTGGAGCGCCGAGGAGGTCAGACATGCTCACACACTCGCACTGCAGACGTGCTTCCTCGTTCACACATCCAACATGAAGGCATGGAGTTGTTCAGGGAAACTGCAACTGTGCATGAATATTCAAGGGAGAGCTTCTCTTTCAGTTCGATAAAGGCATACACGACACGTTGATTAGTAGATAGATATTTATTGATTACACATAGTGTGTTTGACAGCTTGTCTTTTGCTTCCTTTTCTCACCAGGTGGCCACTTTTGTCAAAGGACTTCCAGGATGTAAAGAACACGCTGCTACGTTTAAAACAGAGGTAAGCCCTTCATCCCTGTTTAGACCAAGACTCCAGATTTAAATAACGATTAGTTCAATGAAAGATTAATAAAGATTATTGTTTGAATGCGTGAGGAATCTTATAGTCTGAAAAATGACAAAAAAAAGAGACGGATGTCTTCAAATTGCCTGTTTTGTAGGTTTGAGATGTTATCCGTCAGTCAACAAATCAATTAATTGCCACTGACTTAATAAATTCAATGTGTATGTATTGCTGCCAACTCTGTGTATTCTGTGATACAAACAATATTAATAACAGACACAGTTAGCAACTACTCCAAATATAAAATGGCTCATAGTGGCTGGATGTCCGAATACGCAGTTAGTTAGTTTGCCAACATACTCAAATTCACAGGCGATACGTCAATGCTGTGTTGCCATGTTGTCTCAGCTGTTCAATGACGGTAAATAGAGTGGTGCAGGAATGAGTCCTAAAACCCGTAGATGAGTCAGCATTTTTACACTCCCTCTTCTCAAAGTCGATGAGTGTCTTAAATGTCTTCTTGGTTAGATGACTGAATAAGGTCTGTGGTTAACACATGCTGAACATTTCGTCCTACACTATAAAACGACAGTAAAGAGTAAATACCCCTCTTGGGTGTAAAACACAGTGATACGGAGCAAATCATCTTTACGTTGTCTTTTCAGCAAATAGATGGCGAGGCCTTCCTGCTGCTCACCCAAGCGGACATCGTCAAGATCCTGTCCATCAAGTTAGGACCGGCCCTGAAGATCTACAACTCCATCCTCATGTTGAAGAACGCAGACGAAGAGTAAGACTCTAAAGACTGACGAGGAATCCCTCCCTCCTTACCGGCCCCTCGACACTCAAGCTGTGAGACGTTTGATAAAATCAGCCCGAGCAGGTTTCTAGTGTCGAGCTCCACATCACAGAGAAAATGTCCGTCCCTCCCCCGTCCCCCCGTCCCCCCTCCTTTGTGGAACGTACTGATCAACCTGAGGGAGGGTGTTACAGGATTCCGTGAGGATTCCTCCACTCATATCGTGTTTGTTTACTAAATCATAAAAAAAAAGAACTACAGGCACCTTCAATGCTCCTTAACATTGTACAGTTTATGAATTGGATTTAGGGTCACGATTCTGTTGCAGTCCCTGTTTTTATTTGAACTGTAATGGTGCTTGAGCTGCGAGCAGATGGAACAAGCGTGTTTGTGCTTTGTTGCATTTTACTTGTCAAAACTTCTTTCTTTTTTTTTTTCTTTTTTTTTCTTTTTTTTTAAAGCTGCAAAATACAATCGTGAGGTGGCGAGAGGTTTTTAACAATGTGAAACCCAGAGGAACAGAAGCACTATGTAGTTGAGCCTTCCTCCTCTAGATGGAGGAAGTGGGCCGCTCCACAGGCCTGAAGGCAAAACAGTTTGATTCAATTGGACTGAAGCTTAGATAGAACGGGGGATGGTAAAGACGGTGTGTGTGTGTGTGTGTGTGTGTGAGAGAGAGAGAGAGAGAGAGAGAGAGAGAGAGAGAGAGAGAGAGAG